TGGAGCTCCCCCCCCCCCCCAAGTATCACGGGTCCCCTTTAAAACCTTAACAGGTGTTGGCAGGATTGGGAAAGTGGTCCTAAGAGTAGTGCTGGGTCATTTTGGACCATACTGTGGTACGCTGCTCACTTCTGCGCATGGTTCTAAGTTCCAGGGGCAGCACTGTCTGGGTTTAAGTCCCTGTGTGTGTTGGGGGTGTGTGATCGTTCCAGAAGCCCTGGTAGTCAGTAGCAGCAGAATAAGATGGGAATCCACTGGCACCTTAGAGGCTCACCAAATTTATGCCAGCATCGACTTTCATGAATTATAGCTCCCTTCATCACATGCAAAGGGGAGCACATCTACATTTCGTCAGAACACTTAGAAAATGTATATTCCATGCATCTGGCGAAGTGAGCTCTGGCTCACAGAACGCTTCTGCTGGAATAAACGGTTATGTCTGTCTGGTGCCACCAGACTCCGGTCTGGGGCAGGAAATGGGTGACACTGTTGTAATGCTTGTTACGTTCCCAAATACAGAAGCAGAGCTCAAGTGGAAGCAAAGAAGCACTTCTGCAGAGCAGCAGATCTCTTACCAACCGAGACCCAGTTCAGTGTCGTGGTTAAGTGCGCCGACTCTAATCTGGGAGAACTGGGTTTGATTCCCCACTCCTCCTCATGCAGCTGCTGGTGCGACCTTGGGTCAGTCATAAGTTCTTTCAGAGCTGTTCTCTCAAGGGCAGTTTTCGGGAGAGCTCTCTCAGGCCCACCTACCTCAGAGGTGGGGAGAGGAAGGGAAAGAAGATTGTAAGCTGCTCTAAGACTCCTTCGGGTAGTGAAGGGCAGGGTATAAATCCAATCTCCCACCCCCCACACCTCAGATTCCGAGAGGCAGCGATCTGGCACACTGGAGGTATTTTGGCTGCCCTCTTCTCCCTCTCTCACTGGCTTCTTTACAGCATCTCCTGCCCTCTTCATTCAGCCGGGCAGAGCACTTGAACGGAGAGGGCATTTTTGCAGGGCCCTTGAACTGAGAGCCACTTCCTATCAATTAGTACTTTGAGGAAGCAAGCGCAGTCAGTAAGCACCATTTATATTCTTGCCTCGGTAGGCACATGTGCTCAGGAAGTCATTAGGTCCAGAAATTCAATCTGCAGCTCCCGGGCAGGGCGTCTGCTTTGCGTGCAAAGGCTTCTGGATTCAGCCCCCTCGTTCATCTCCACCTAAAAGGACTGCCGGTGTTGGGAGTGGCCTTCCCCTCCCCCCCCAAGCCCCACTCCTGTGTGTTTGTGTGTCAAGCGCCATCAAGTCGCAGCAGACTTATGGCAACCCCTGTAGGTTTTTCAGGGCCAGAGACGTTCAGTTTGCCATGGCCTTCCTCTGCAGAGCAGCCCTGGACTTCCTTGGCGGTCTCCCATCCAGATACAAACCTGGTCCAACCCTGCTTAGCTCTGAGATTCAGCTAGCCTGGGCCATCCAGGTCAGGGCAGGGTAGATTTGGGTGTGTTAAGTGCTGTCAAGGTGCTTCCGACTTATGGCGGCCCTATGAATTAACTTTCTCTGAAACGTCCTATCATTAGCCACCATTATCGGGTCTTGCCAACTGAGGGCCTTTGTGGCTTCTTTGATTGAGCCCATCCCTCTCCTGTTGGGTCTTCCTCTTTTCCTGCTGCCTTTGACTTTTCCTAGCATTATTGTCTTTTCCGATGACTCTCGTCTTCTCATAATGTGACCCAAGTACGATAGTCTTGGTTTAGCCATTGTATCTTCTAGGGAGAGGTCAGGCGTGATTTGGTCTAGAACCCACTTATGTGTCTTTTTGGCCATCCATAGTATCTGTAAGCTCTCCTCCAATAGCACATTTCAAGGGGAACCTACTTTCTTCCTGTCGGCTTTCTTCATAGTCCAACTTTCACACCCACACGTAGTAACGGGGAATACTGTGGTATGAAACTGTAATGAGGCAGTCCAAAATGTAAAAAGGTGGATTTAGTAAAAGATAAATACCATTAAAGTAGTCCTAACTAGAGAGCTGGGGCTGCGGTGGCTCAAGTGGTTAAGACGCTGAACTGCAGGCTGTGGAAGGTCGGTAGTTTAGCAGTTCGAGACTCGGGTGCCGCATGACGGAGTGAGCTCCCGTCTCTAGTTCCAGCACCTGCCAACCTAGCAGTTCGAAAGCAAGAAATTTCAAGTAGATAAATAGGTACCACTTTTGGTGGGAAGGTAACAGCGTTACGTGCGCCTTGGTGTTTAGTCATGCCGGCCACATGACCACGGAAACGTCTTCGACTTGGAAACAGAGATGAGCACCGCAACCCTAGAGTCGGATTCGACTGGCTTTCGAGCAAGGGAACCTTTACCTTTACCTAACTAGAGAATAAATGCTGGGGAAGGTAGACCAAGCGTCTGCCTTGTGGTATTCGAGGGCTCCTTTTGTAGCAGGAACTCCTTTGCATATTAGGCGACACACCCCTAATGTAGCCAATCCTCCAAGAGCTTACAGAGCTCTTCTTACAGGGGCTACTATAAGCTCTTGGAGGATTGGCTACATTAGGGGTGTGTCGCCTAATATGCAAAGGAGTTCCTGCTTCTCTTCCGGCAGTCCCTCTGCATTTAATTTTCAGCTTCACGATCCTGTAATGCCTGAGCACTGTGGCCAGGTGGCGGTGGTGGGACCTGCCACTGACCACCCAAGGCAGAATGTAAACTTGTTCCGGCATTGTTCCTTCCCATGGGACTGTCCTGTGAACATCCTGAACAGAAGATGTTGTGCAGGTTTGAGTATGGGGGGGGGGGGGCCTGTCTGTTTTTTGGGGTATTTTCGGAAAGAGTCATTGCCTTGCCTCGCAATGCTGTGTGCCGATTGTATCTTCAGTCAACACCAGTTTATCTGTAATAAGCAAAGATCAGGCATCAGTTCGCGTACTGGCTCTTCCAGTGGATACAGGACTAAAACAGCAACAGTGCCTGGGAAAGAAGCGTGCCTCCAGTACAACCTTCTCTGGAGTTTCCTGGCCTCTGTCTTCTCCAAAGGACCTCCACTTTGACCTCAGCACTGAAACTGTAGTTCAATGTGAGAGTGACGACTATATTCTAAGCTTCTTCTTTTTCTTTTTCGGAGGGGGGATATGACAATTGTGTGCAGTGGTTTCCCCCAGCACTTGAAATGCGATCAAGGTACCCATTGTGATAATTCTGTAACCCCCAGCCCTTCAGTTTTCTATAGGGGGGGACGACTATTTGGTCAAAATACATATACTGTATGCTGTAGTATCAGCCCAGTACCCAAAATGAAATAATAAAACAGTCCAGTTAAGCAATGTGAAATGACATGAAATATCCAGTTGTTAAGGGAGATTCTTAAACAGAGTGAATTGGGAAAGAGCAGTGTCATGGAATCAGTACCTGGAACAATGTGGGAAGAGGGCAGAACTCCTTGGCCAAAAAAAAAAGTAACTGCAGAAGCTGAGGGTGATATACACAAGCATACAACCAACAACCTCTAGACAACTCTACCCTTGAACAACAAAAAGGCTGGGGGAAAAGAAAAGGGTTTTGTCTGCTGCCTGAGATACAAAGGCCGAGGGGTTGGGTTAACTGGCAAGAAGAGGGCACTCTATACATGAGATGCCGCGATGGGAGAAGCCCTCTTCCTTATGGAGCATGATCCAAAACAGGGCCTTGGCAGCGGGTGTTAGCTGACGGGCAAGTCGCTACAGGCGGCTTCCTGCGCGGAGGGCTGCCTTTTGTCAGGCGTGTAGCCCACCTGCGGCCTGAAGGGGCATCACCCCCCCCCCCGATGTGGGTTTCCTGTCTCGTGTGCTGTTTGTGAGAACGTCCTTTACATGAAGAATAGCTGAAGAGTCCGGGGCTTTTCAGTTTAGAGAAGACGTGGCCAAGGGAGACACACGATAGAGGTTTTACAGCATCGTGTATGGAGTGGGGAGAGTTGACAGAGATAAATTTTTCTCCCTCTCCCCAAGTACTGGAACTTGAGGGCATCCAATGGAGCTGATGGGCAGTAGGTTCAGGGCGGACAAAAGGGAGTAGAATTTGTTACCACAGGATGGAGTGATGACCACAGGCATAGACAGCTTTAAAAGGAGCTGAGGCAGGTTCACGGAGGACAGATCTGTCAGTAGCTCCTAGCTATGGTGACTAAAGGAAACCTCCACATTCGGAGGTAGTAAGCCTCTGAACCCCAGTGCCAGAAGGCAACATCAGGGGAAGGCCTTGGCCTGTATGCCCTGTTGTTGGCCCTCCAGAGGAACTGGTTGGCTGCTGAGTGAGACGGGATGCTGGACTGGATGGACCACTGGTCTGATCCTGCAGGGCTCTTCTTATGTTCTTATCAGGAGAAGGCTTCTTATCAGGAGAAGACCTCAGCCTCTGTGCACCGTTGTTGGTCCTCCAGAGGAACTGGTTGGCCGCTGAGTGAGACAGGATGCTGGACTGGATGGACCACTGGTCTGATCCAGCAGGGCTCTTCTTATGTTGTTATAAACCTCTTCTTATGCTCTTCTTATGTTGTTATAAACCACTGAATCCCAGAGCCAGGAGTCAACATTGGGGAAGGCCTCAGCCTCTATGCCCTGTTGTTGGCTCTCCAAAGGAACTGGTTGGCCGCTGAGTGAGACGGGATGCTGGACTGGATGGACCACTGGTCTGATCCATCAGGGCTCTTCTTATGTTGTTATAAACCACTGAATCCCAGAGCCAGGAGTCAACATTGGGGAAGGCCTCAACCTCTATGCCCTGTTGTTGGCTCTCCAAAGGAACTGGTTGGCCGCTGAGTGAGACAGGATGCTGGACTAGGTGGACCACTGGTCTGATCCAGCAGGGCTCTTCTTATGTTCTTAGAATGCTGATTCTCAAAACTTTGTCTTCCATATGAGGGATGGTTTCCCTTTCCATCTGAGAGGACTTTCCTTGTGCCGCTGATTCTCTGGGCTGTCTGTCCAAACCAGCTTGTTTTCCTCTGCCCAGCTGACGCTTGACCTCTCTCTCCTTTCCCTACTCAGTCGACTATGTGGGCAGCTTGCTGCAGCTGGTCATGCCTCAATGGACTACCGGAAGAGATGCAGGCCCACCCTCAGCAGGGGGCTCGCACGCAGGCCTACTCCAACGCCGGCTACAGTTCCTTCCCTTCTCCCACGGGTTCCGAGCAGAGCTGTAAGGCCTGTGGGGCGCACTTCAACAACTCCTCCCTGAAGGTGAGTGAGAGGCATTTGCCGCTGGGGGTTCCTTATAGGGCAGGACTGAGAACGGAGCTGTGTGTGAGGCGGACCTGGCTGAGGGGATTGGTAGGCTGGAGTGCTTCAGATGGCGGGTGTTTTTGTATGCGCTTCACTGCTTTTCTCAACTGCCTCCAGTGTAGGAAGGTAGCCCTGCAAGAGTGGTCCACTAAATGTTTGTTCCTAATGTCACTCTTTACTGTACGTGACAGGACTTTTATTTTTAAGGTATGACCATCCATTTTGTCTGTGTCTGTGTGGTGTGTTCAAGGTCTTGAAAAAATGCCTTTTGTTTCTGACTCCTCTAATTGGGCATCTTGGCACAACCCCTCATTGTCAGGGGGCGGGTATTGCCACTGGCTTGCTGCTCTCCATCCCCCCCCCCCCCCCCCCAAGGCCTTTTTTCTTTATTTCAGTTTTTCCAACAGAAAAATTGGAACCTTTTGCTCTGGGCAGACCAGTGAAGCAGATGTCAGTGAGGTAAATGTGAAGGCCTGGGTGTGTGTGTGTGAAATCTTTTCTCCTTTGGAAGGACTGGAATGTTTATTAAGACATTTTTTTTTTTGACGTCAAGTCACAGCTGACTTATGGCAATCCCCATAGGGTTTTCAAGGGAAGAGGCATTCAGAGGTGGTTTGCCATTGCCTGCCTACACATCACAACCCTGGTATTCCTTGGAGGTCTCCCATCCAAATACTAGCAAGGCTGACCCTGCTTAGCTTCCGAGATCTTTTTTTAAAAAGTTTTTTAATTTTAAGTTTTCAGATCAAGCCTTGTAAGAGCAAGAACATATACCACAATTACAGTTATCAATTAGAAAAATTATTTAAAATATGACCGGCGAAAGATATACATAAAATACTATATAAGTGAGGATGAAGGTTAACATATGGATATAATAGCTATGCCTTAAAATGCTGTTTGTAAGAATGTGTTATATTGCAGCAAATTAAAGAATTGAAGAAGGCAAAGATTAATTATAACAGCAATACATCTATTGGATGATGGTGGTTAAAAATCCTTCTGTTGTTGGACATAAACTCCAAAACAGGGAACCATAACTCCACAAAGTTTAGTGAATAGGGGCTGCGGTCACACGGAACATTAGCCACGCTAGAGAGACGGAAGATAGGCAGATTTTCTGGGTGCGATCTCACCGCCACATCTGGGAAGCGTGGAGCTCCCGTGGCTCACCCGAGGCTTCCCGCCGAAGATGCGGGGTAAAAAACTAGTACCTCCGAGGTACTAGTTTCCGGTAACCGCGGGGCAAGGGTGGGCGTCTGATCGTGTTTCCGGTGGCATCCGGCGCCCGCCCATGTCCCCTTGCAAAAACGTTTTTTTTCCCCAAGTCTCCATGGATGCGCACAAGCACCCAACAGAGCATGCGCATACTTTGGTGTACAGAAAAAACCAAACCCGTTTGCCGCACCGCGCTGCTTCTTTGCCGCGCCGCAGGATTGTCCTGTGATCGGCACCTCCCCCCTACCCACGGGACCTCCACGGGACGTCTGATCGCGCAACCGCGTGTTATTTTGCCCCGGGGCAAACAGTCACGCCTCTCCCCCCCCCCCCGCGATATCCTGCCCGTGTGACCGGGGCCAGGGTCCGGTTTCCGCTTAATCCAATATTCTGTCCATGATATAAAAATCCCACACACTAATCGAAGGAGGGTTAATATCTTTCCATGATGAAGCTATTACAGTGTTTGCCGCTGCACAAAGTAAAACAATTAAGTCTCTTCTCGGGGGTGGGTGGGTGGAATATTGCAGTTGTGCTACAGATTCAGTAACATCTGTTCCGGAATCATAGAAACTTAGCTTCCAAGATCTGATGAGAGGGGGCTAGCCTGGGCTATCCAGGTTAAGGCAAGACACAACGTTTTACTCGTTCAAAAATGTTTGCTACAAATATTTTTGACGTAAAACAACCTACAGCAGAAGGGAATGATTCCTTTGTGTCCTGCCGACTTGTCTATCTGGAACAGACGTACACAACATTAATTATAAGGATGTTCGTTGTTTCAGTATGACTAATCTTGTCCGCTGTTAATTTGCTGTGACGATGGTACACTATTGAATAATTCAGTGCTTTTAGTGTCACAGAGTTTAACTTAATAGTCAAATGTCTAATGTTGGAGATATTGCCAATTTGGCTTGTGGGGATAACTAAGGCATTTATACTTCTAAATTCCATCACGGTGCCAAAAAGTATAATTTTGTATGCTAAGTGATAAATGATGGCTTCAATTTTGCTAAAGCGGTAGAACAAGTGTAAACTGGGTGAGAAAGAAAGAATTGTGTGTATTTCAGTTTTTTCCCCGGTTGCTGTGTGTTGTGGGTGGGAGGGAACTGGTTTCTTTCCCCCTCCCAAGGCCTGAACAGTTCCAGAGTGTTTACATGTCTAGGGGCCTGCTAGCCACAGGAGGCGAGAGTAGGGTTGCCAAGTCCAGCGTTGCGCCGTAGTGGGGGACTCCCAGCTTGCGGCACGCCACCCAGAACCATAGAGTTTTCCCTCGGATGACCGTGGCCCCGCCCCCGGCGTGGTCGCGTCACTTCCGGGTGACACGCACGTTGGGGTGGGGCTCCCCCCAGGGCCCGATCCGGTGGTGGCGGGGAACAGGCCTCTGGGGCGGGGGTTTCCCCACCCCCCGGGGGGACTTGGCAAGCCTAGGCGAGAGAGTGGCCAGCCATTAGTGGCACCAATGAATAGACAGTGCTGACACCAATGTCCCCTGCAAGCAAGAGGGCACCCGGATGGCAGACCCCCCCCCCCCCGGAGCTCTACTGGCCCCTAATAGCCCGGCCTTCGCCACAGACTACCTCATTTGGTGGCAGTGGTGGCTACTGCCAGCTGCCACCTGTTCCCCAGGAGATCCTCCCGGCTTCTTGGTAGGGAGGACTGCGGCATGCGCTCTTCTCACTTTCAGTGGCAGTTGGGTCGGGCCAGCCCGGGGTGGAAGGCTCAATCTTCACCACTTCCCAGGGCTAGTTAGATGTAGAGATGATTACGGGGGCTCAGCACCTGCCTGAAGCTGGGCTCTGCATCTCAGTGTGTCCCATCTGAATCCTGCAGCGGTGTATGGCTTGACTCCTGTTGTTTTTGGTGTACCTCCTTCTCCTCCTGTGTAATGTGTAGATCACCTCTGAATGGTGGTACCCAAGTGTGCAGCTGTCGTTCCTGAGACCTGATGAAGACTCCATCCCTCCATTCCCTTCCTGGCATGATGGGAATAGATTTGGGGTGGGGATGGATGTTTGCCATTGGCCTTTGCATCCAGGAGGACCAGTTCAGGGGTTGTTCCAGAGCCAACCCCCCCGAGACACTGTGATGCTTGGGGTGAGAAATGGAGAAGGGAAACTCACTTCTGCTAAATGAACATGGAACAAAACCCACCAGGGAGTTCGCCATTGCAGACTCGGTTGAAATGGATGGTGGGTGTGCAAGAATGCCCTTGCATGTCTTCCATTCAATGGGACTTGCACAGGAGAGCTGTGGACCGTGTCCTCTCTAGGCAGATCCATCTCTGCCCCATTCTGCCAACCATAATAGCATCCAAATTCCCCATTCTTCAGCAAATGCCTCCCGAGGAAGTCACTTCTACGCTGGACTCTGTTGCCTGGTGTACTGGACCACACAAACCAGCTGTCAAGTTGTAGCCAAATTATGGTGATCCTGTAGGGTTTTGAAGGCAAGAGATGAACCGAGGTGAGTTGCCACTGCCTGCCTCTGCATAGCAAACCTGGACTTCCTTGGTGTTCTCCCATCCAAGTACTAACCAGGGCCAACCCTGCGTAGCTTCTGAAATTGGCCTAGCCTGGCCTATCCAGGTCAGGGATGGTAGTCATTAAATGCTCCAAGTCCTAATATAAAGCCACTGAAGTGCAAGGCGTTTTTGTAGACAAGCTCTGCTGCAGAATCGACATAAAGCTTTTGCCCTCTCTCTGAACTGGTTTTTCTCGTTGCCCCTGATCTGCGTGTTTAATCCGTGCATGCCTGAGCTTGTCGAAAATCATCAGTGTCACAGGCAAGCAAGACAAATTGGCATCCTTTGCCTGGGGAAGCCAGTTGAAATGGGAAGGATTCCCAAGAGGTGGCTGCAGTCCAAGTTTAGTTCTTTAGCACATCCCTGACCCGGTGGCACTCCCGGAGAAAAGACGGCGAGGAATAGGAGAGAGACGTGACTCTTTGTCAAGGGGACGTGCACACACGATGGCATTTCCGTCTTAATTACCGCAACCCAAATGTATAAAAATAACTCTGAAATCTGTGATTGACTGTATGGTGGCTAAGAGACTGGGTATTTTCATCTCTCCAAGGGTCTCTTTTACTAACTGTTCCAAGGGGGACATGGCAAAACCTTAATGAGAACATGCCACAGGCTTATATTGTACCGATCGGGGGGCCCGTCCTATGGGGCAGGTCTCCCCGAGCGTGTTTGCGACTGTCAGCATGGGTGACCACTGTGACTTTCTCTCCCGTGCTCCAGCTTAGCGTCTCCGCAGGCTTTCATTGCAGACGGTCCAGTCTGTTTGGCACCAGAGGTCATTACAAAACGAGGCTCTGTCTGGAACCCCAGAGAGGAGCGTGTTGCATAGTAAATACGATTACTAATTTCACTCTGGTTGCAAAAGCCGAAGGTCTTTAGAACAGGAAGCTCGTAGGATGGCTTACGTGTAGCTTCCCCGAAGCAGACGTCATGATGTGACCAGCCCATTAAAGTGACCTACGTATTTTTGACTTTTTAAATGGTTTTTCCAGAAAAAGGAGGCCTAGAAACATCCTACAGACGATAAGTGTTAAACGCCTTTAGCTCTGCCGTCCTAAGCAGAGTCGCATGTGAAATGAGTCCATTGAAAGGAACCAGCTTTGAAAGGCAGGACTCTGCTTAGGATGGCCTTGCTGGGTACCTTGCAGAACTAGCTGGGAAACTCCAGGAAGGCTTCCTTCCTGGAAAGACTTTAAAGCGTATCAGAGCATTACAGCAGGGCAGGGACGTGCAGCGCAAGTGCCCAAGGGGTCGGCCCCTTTTCCCATTCCGTTCCACACAGTGAGCTAAGCAGCTGGCAAAGAGGTTCCCCAAAAGCCAGAGTCCTTTGCTGCGGGCAGACATTTCTCTATACCCCAATCGTTCCAAGGTGAGTTCCAGGAAAACGCCCCCCCCCAACCCTGCACCCCGTTTCAGGTGATGCCTTCAATTCAGCCTCTAGTATTTCACACTGGCTGGTAAGACACTCAGCCTGGCCAGATCAGGGGCACTGGAATTTTAGGCCGCTTCCTTTCACACTGCTGCTTCTGTGAAGGTTTTGAGCCGATGTTAAAATTGCCTCAATGCAGATTTTATGTTCATTTTGTTACGCAACAGCTGCTTTTATGCAAACTGCATTGGAAGGCTTTGCTGTGTAGTGGCATAGAAATTTTGTTCAATAGAATAGCACTTGTGTTGGATGCTGCGGGCCCACTTGGACTTCTGGCACGGCATAGTGGGCGCAGCAACAAAGTGGCTGCCACAGAATGGCTGCCGCAGGAGGCGGAGCCAGCCACAAAACAATGGCCGCAGCTTAAGTTCAGTCACACACTGCAGATCCTTGTGCTGTGGTGGCAGCTGCTGCCAAAGCAATGTTTTAAAAATCTACACAGCCAATCCAATCTCCAATGGCCAATCAGAAGCCTTCCTGGGCAAAAGCCCTACCTAGCTCCGCCCACTTTCTAAAAGTACTTGGCTGACACCAGAATTGGTGAGTACCATGGCACCCACGGGCACCATGTTGGGGACCCCTGCTATAAGAAGAAGAGGAGATTGGATTTATACCCCGCCCTTCACTACCCAAAGGAGTCTCAGAGCGTCTTACAAACTCCTTTGCCTTCCCCTCCCCACAACAGACACCCTGTGAGGTAGGTGGGGCTGAGAGAGCTCTTGACAGAAACTATCTTTTTTCAAGAACAGCTCTTATCAGAACTACGGCTTGCCCAAGGTCATCCAGCCAGGTGCAAGTGGAGGAGTGGGGAATCAAACCCGGTTCTCCCAGATCAGATTCCGCACACTTAACCACTACACCACACTGGCTCTTGCCTGCCAAAGTCAAGCTTTGCATCAGACTAGATAGGGATATGCAGTGAGAAACTAGGGTGGGGTGGTGTGAACAGGAAGTAATTTTTGTTTGCCTTTTTGCTGTCGACTCGTGGCGACCCCTTGCGGGTTTCAAGGCAAGAGACGTTCAGGGATGGTTTGCAGTTGCCGACCTCTGTGTGGCCACCCTGGTATTCCTTGGCGGTCTCTCATCCAAATTCTAATCAGGGCCGATACTCCTTCGCTTCTGGGATCTGACGAGGTCAGGCTGGCCTGGGCGATCCAGGTCAGGTTGGGGCTTTTTAACGGGGAAGA